TAACACAAATATTACCGTAGTTTATTATTTTTATTAAAGGTATATTTTGCAATTTCAATATCAATTATAACTCGTGAAATGGTCAAAATAAAGAAATTGTAGCGGGGGCAACCAGTTTATATGACACGTTGTTATGGTTATTTTTAATCTTGACGCATGATTTCATTGCGATAAAGTCATGATTTTATTGTACCTAACTTAATTCGGAGCTGGGTGCGATGCAAAAAAACTCATTTAATACGAGATAACACTAGGACAACATAACTCGGGCCACTAACGATTTCTGAAAAGTAAAAAATTCAACATTTCTGATGTCTAGCAATTGAATCAGCAGGTGTTTATTATTATGGCGCTGCAGATAGACTCTGATAGTACAAACACTAAAAACAATACTCTCTTTCTTATAATAAATCGGTAGATACGTCTTGCACATCAAGTTAGTAGAATATTCAAAATTCTAGAACAACCGTCACTCGCACTATTGATAAGTACTTTAACGGATATGACCTTGCTACCCGTCCCCGATCCGGGCGTCCGAAATCATTGACCAACAAAAGTCAAAGAATTCTAAGACTATTACTATTGTTAAAAACAATACTAAGAAATCAACAGAAAATTCTTTGTTCAAAAAACGAATATTGAAGTTTCCACAAAAACTATTAAAAGAATTTGCACAAAATTTTCATATACAGCTCGTAAAACTCCTGTTAAATGAGAACAACACCTGAAATGGTGTGCTGAAAAGAGAGATTGAGACTGTTCGAAAATGGCAATCTGTCATATGGAGGGATGAAAACAGATTTACAATATTTAAAAGTGATGGTCCAGATCGTGTTTAGAGGACTCCTGGTACCAGATTCAATATTGAAAATTTGGAGGCGGAGAATTAATAATTGGGGATGCTTTACTGGTAATAGTAAAAGATTGGGGCCATTAGTAAAAGTAGATGGTAAAATGAATAGATTGACTACATAGAAATACTTGAAAAGCATTATTATTATTGCTCTTGATAAAGGATGAATGTCATTGCAGAAAAGTATTGGTTCCAAGATGATAATGCTCCAGTCCATTCTGTTGAAAATGTTAAAAAATGGATTTTGATAAACAAATCAAAATTTTGCCAGAAATCAGTCGAATCCAATTGAGCATTTATTGGCAGAGTTTAGAGTTGGAAAGAAAAATAACCAGACCACAGGCAACAACAAATGTTGCAAAATTAGTATTAAATGAATTTGTTTGTTAGTTCTTCAACTTCATTCTTCTGTTAGGCATACTTCATCCAATCAATGAAGTCAACTGGCATATAATTGTCCTTACATACTCAGTAGGAGTACATGTAATAGTAATAGTAAGCCATTGTTTGGGTGGTTAGTATTAAGTGTAATATTTCATATCATTCCAGAAAGTCAAGGCTCACTATCATAGAGCATCTGGGCCTTATCAATGAGGACAAATATTGGATCATTGCTGTTGGCACATTCAGACCATGTGCACTGGACTTCTTTTCTCCAGAATGCATCAAAGGTCTTATTGTTATGTATATGTAGTATTATTAATTTATAGCAGGAATTATTAAGTATTATGCTGATAAATTAATAATTAGGCGGAGTGAACCATTTCTTTGCTCAACAAGGAAAAGTTCCTAAGGCAAATTTCTGAAGAACTGATAATCCTTCTGCTTGAGTAAGTGGATTTGCCTTGTTTCTTTTAAGTGATGTAGTGTTTGAGCTATCTGGAAAAGAAAACTCCTTGCTAAATGATGAGAAGGACCTGCTGAACTAGAAGATAATAATGATAAATGAGGAAAAAGATGAAGATGATGGTTAATAATGATTTGATTGTTTATTCTGCCAGTCTTCTTTGTGTTGGTGTTAATGCTCATTTAGTATTAGTAGTTATGATTTTCCTTTCCTCTTGATAAATTTCATAACTAATTTTTTCTTGAGATATTTCTGGTGAGTTTGGGTATTATTGATTTTAAAAACGCATAGAGCAATTTTTTCACCTTTAAAATGCTTCTAATGGTAAATGGTGCTGTACTTCTTGGGTTTCCATAGCATTAGTATTAGTTCCAGTTTGGGGGAGTAGTGATGAAAGTTCAAAAAGTGAAAGAGATGATTTTCCAGCTTAACTCTCATTTATTTTGGAGGCTGTGGGTTAAAAACTACAAGTATTTCTTGCTCTACCCAAATACTACTGGTACTAGTACTGTTACTGTACCATTATTTTCAATAACCTCAAGTTGACACCTTAACCTGCAGGCAATATAATAGTTAATTGAGGAGTAAGCTGACCAAGTACAAGACGAAAATTTAGCATTAAATTTAAATTAAGGTTTGAACTTGAAACTTTTCACGGCATTACTATTACATACACCTTATCCACCAATAGTGATAGTAAATTGTAATAGAGAAGCAAATCTTTTTCATCATGCTCTAATATGAGTGAGCATTATAATTAGTTGGCTGTTCTTTTATAACAAGTTATAATAATAAGGTGAAGACACAAATATTGATATCTTGCAAATCTGATTTAAACTACTTGACGTCAGATGAATACATCAAACACACAAAATATCCCTCTGAAGACTCTTTTCTGGATGCCTCAGGTTTCTTATAAAGAACTTTGCGAAAATTACGTTCCAGCTTGGTTCTTAATTCCTTATCATTTTCTCCCATTAAAAACTTTTAAAACGAATTAGCGTTTGTATTTTCATGTACAAGACGCGCGAGATGTGTTTCATACCTTACACAAAAAAGTTCCACCAGGGCCTAATGTTTCTTGGGCTAGAGAGAGTGCTGCTTCGCATAAATCCTTGGAGAAAGTTGGGGATTTGCGTGAAAAATTATGAATGGCAAGTTAACAATGCAATAACAAGAATTACCATTGATCGCATATGATCAACAAGATGCTTGCCAGAGAAATTCGGAGCCATGTCACTAAATATTGCGTTTGCCTTTCTATTACCAAGAAAAGTTTTAATCTTGTCTATTGTTTTATGGTCTGTAATATCGCCGTGGACAACATTAACGCCTGATATCGGTTCTATGGAGGATAAATCTACAGCAATGACTAATCCATTTTGAACATCTTGCTGCTTGGAGAAATCATTTTTATCGTCTATGTCTTCTTCCTCATCAGACTGTACGTCCATCTTTGATTTTGCAGTACGACGTTTTTTGTTGTAGACTTTTTGAGAGTCTATTTCTCCAAAGATTTTCTCTGCGATGTACTGACTCCACCCTCCCGGTGCAGCTCCACAATCGATGGCTACATCTCCCTTTTTAAGGATGTTGTATTTCAAGTCGAGTTCGATCAGCTTGTATGTGCTTCTTGCACCTATTATGATATGATATCAGGTCACACGTTTCGTCAAAGCCATTCAAGCATCTCTTTTTTGATACACAAACAATCGGAAAATAGAATTACGATAATTCTGCCTGGCTGCTTGTTTGGTAAACCGATCGCTCTGTTTACGAGCAATCCATCGAGTAGAAGAGGAGGAGTATCGTATTTGAATTCCATATAGAGGTAAGAAATGGTATATCGGTCGGGATAGCATATTAACAAGTTCTTAGATCATCTGATGCTACGATTTATTGGATGGGCTAAACTATAATTCCCACACTAAATTGGGGTCTTATTGGACCCCTCTTTTAGTGTCTCCGACACCCCAAATATATTCTTGAGAAATTAACGATTGTTTCAATAAACATCCTTGATATCATCATCATCCGAATTTCGAATAGTCTCATACCTGACGTTCTGCCCACAATTGTAACATAGCGATAATTAACGCGGTTTTGTAGATAGCAGCATCATGAGCCTCGGCCTCCTCAATCAGGATTCATAAGTCGATAGTTAGTGCAGAAATTGACCGATTCCAACTATGCGTAATTGCGTACACATATAAGTTTAAATAACTCGTAAGTTTATTTCATAAAGCTAAACTCGAAAATAAACTATGTAAAGCTCTCCAACTAATTTATTGTAACGGGTCTACTATTACACACCTCTTATGTCAGAAAAAGAAGCATTATTTTTACATTAATTATTCTAATCCTTGGTATTTAGATACCAAGCCCCACAAATAGATATGCCGCAGAATTTTATAGAAAAATAATGGGTAGATGCTTGCTCACGAAACCAAGGTTATGTTTGAGTAAACACTTGCGTTGGCAGTTACCGGATGCGAGACATCTAGTTGTTGACACAAACCCAAAAGCTGACTATGAGAAGTCTTGGAGTTGGCAGATTGAAACATTGCACGTTAATGGAAACTACTTTGAGAAAATTAAATTTAGATCATCGAAATAAAGAATTGGCGACAAACTTTTCAGAATCATTATTATGTTACAAGACGGGTCACAACGAGCGCAGCCATCAATTCAAAGGTCGTGTGATATCCGGACATTTACATGGTTGGCTGAAATTCATGCCATTACAGATAGAATTTTTTATACAATTTAAAGTATTTTAAAAACGTCTGTGCGTTTGGGATCCGCTCGCATTTTTTGGCTGGATAAGAGGAGGATAACTATGACATTATGAGTGAGTAAACGTGGCAGTTTTTTGATATCGTTTTTTATATAATTTACGTTTTTCATATATTTTTGTCGCAAGCTTTGGCTTTTATGCGACAATTAAGGAAACAACCCATTTTTATGCATTCCTAAACACCTGTAGCCGGGTTATCCCATTGACTATTTCAGTTATCAACCTGATTTCTTGCCACTTGTGCTATAATCCAGTTAATCATGCAAGTTTAGAACAAGCAATTTCGACGACAGAATGGAAGCACGCCCAGAAAAAGCTTGTTGGTCCACATGTTATTTGTGGAATAGAAGGGGTTGAAGTAAGGCTGAAGACACTTATCATAAAGCTATGCAGCATGGAACTTTAGCTTCTACATGGGTATTGAACATTCATAATCATTATATGAGTTACATAGTACGTGGTGCTGATAAAGGTTCCGAGATATCTGGTCCTTCAAAGCGACGATGGATACAAGGTGAAGCAGCGACAGAGCGAGTTAATTGTGATGATGGTCAATAAATGAGCCACCAGAGTTGGGAGGATCGAAGAGATGTTATTAAATATCTTAAAGTACCAGTATATGCTCGGAAGTTACTTCAGCTGGAGTTGGAGTCAAAGGACATCGGCCTTACACCATTCCTCAACCTCCTTGAGAAATTAATTAATCCGGTCTCGTGAAAACCACACCATCTTACAGCGACAGAAAGACCTCTCGTTCTTATGTTATTTTTTTGCAGGGATTGGAAACTTGAAAAAGGATATTGCAATGTTTCTAAATCATTCAGATACGTCTGATCAAGCGATTGATACGTAATATGCAATTAAGTTCTACGTCGAGGGAGAATCGAGCGTGAAAAAATATTATATCTTCTATTCACAGAGATAACGTGACAAAAGATCTTGTAAAATATCAGACAAAAGCCATCGTTAATGTCGATGATTGCGAATTCCAACAACTACAGTTGTATTAAAAAAAAAAACGGCGGTGACAAAATTCTATATATTCCAACAATTATGAATTCATATTAAACAAATTTGGAAGCTTATTAAATACTTTATTTAATATAAAAATTTCAGTATGAAATTCTATTATCGTTATTCAATAAAATGGATTTGCATTTGCTTTGGAAACTAAATTATTAACTATTTCCTGGGGAATTGCATCCCATTCTTCGGTCATAATTCGTCCGCATTTTATGGCATCCGCTTTTTCAACATTATTCTTCATGATTTGCCACATATTTTTAATTGGGTTAATATCCCAAGTAATCTCCCTGACTGGAGTTGTCAAGTTTGGGTTTACAATCTCGGAGATGGGAGAAACTCCTTCAAGCGGCACAGGCGAAAACAGTGATGGCAGACATTAAGGTGGCAGAGAGAAGAATGGAAGAAGAGGAATCGAAAAGTATGGATCGTGAACAAAGCTTGAATCGGAAGATAACGTTTTGGGGATCATGGGATAAAGTTAACAAATTTAGGACATATCTGTCAAGTCTGTATTTACTACTCTTGAGACCTTTATTTATCAATTTTTGGCAGTAAATTGATAGTATCTTGTCTTCATTAAAGTTAGGTTTCGTTAGCAGATGTAGTAATAAAGGTATAGAAAGATTCGATAGACAAAATGACAATTATTGATTTATCTCTAAAATAACCAGGAGAAAGTCTGGTTAATATTAATACGCTATTAGTGCTCAGCGAGAGATTGTGAATGGATAATCGAATTTTTCGTATTCGATTTGCCCGCTATCAGTCATTTGTTTATTCTACAGACGGAAAGATAAACATCTGCGACTCCATCTTGATGATGCGACCTTAGTAAAGAATAGAAACAAAATTGTTAGAAACTTAATTGAATATAAAGAAATCAAAGAAAAAATTTTTTTCTTTCTTACCATAAAGGAAATGTATATTGGCAGTCAGTAACCTGTTGGCCGCTTTTGAACAGAAACAAAGCGTCAAGCCCATTGAAATTTCTACCACCAGAATTGACAATATAATCGACAAGAGCGGCTTGCGTCTGCCCACGAACATCGTTGCGACAATTTGCCACCTGCGTATCATTAATATGGCTGGATCATCGCAATCCATTTCTTTTACCCTTGGAGGATCAGTTTAGCGGTTTGTTCGTTCGGAAAGAGTCTGGGAGAGCGAGAGGTTCTAAATACAAACTGTCATTAATTCGTTTACATACGCATACAAATCTTCTTAGTGTTTTGCCAATATTCACTCATTCTCTTCGCAAGCTTTTCCACGGGCGTCTTTTTAACGAGTAAGGTTTTAAAAATCTTCTTTGGGTTCGAATTCATGACTTTCGTAGTAATATTTTAGCAAGTTTGAAGGTTTTAAGCCATATTTATAGCAGAAACGAATTACGTCGCTTTTGTGGAATGTCTTGTGATACGCGCATTATTATCATACCATTATCCTTAATTGTCATCATAATCGAGTATTTATCTACAGTTCTATCTCAGTTATATCCCCATGTTAGGATATAATTAAGGGATGGCGTTTCAATAGATAATATTGTTCTTATCAGTGACGTTGACCCTTTGGGTCTACATACCTTGATTTTGACAAATGTAAGAATGATATTTATTCGAGTGTTATAAGTAGAAGAAATACATCATTCGAGCTATTTTTATATGCATTTTAGAGCGGATGATCAATGTTAAGGATACACGTCATTAAAGTTATTAAAAATTGGATACTATTACCTACGCCGATCCTAATTATTTGTGATAGTACAACAGAATAACATTGATAGCTGATTTTTACAGAAAAATAGCCATTGGTATTGGACTGGCCCTCTAATAGTCTTGATCTGAATTCTGCTGGGAAACTGTCAGAGAAAAGTGGAGAAACATATGCCAAAAAAGCTGAAAAGTTTATGGTAGAGGAATGAGATGCTAATTAATTTTAAAAAAAAATGTGAGAAGGTTATTATTATTATTATTATTATTATTATTATTATTATTATTATTATAGTTATTGAAAAAGGAGAACAAATCTCGTATTAATTTTCATCAATAAAATCTGCACAATTTAAGATATAAAACATGTTTATTGGTACACTCGTTTTGAAATTATATTGTGCTAATTTTTTATGTTGATTGATTGACATGTCCTTTGAGGTTCCTGTGATAATAATAAGAAACAGTTTCGTCAGAGATTAAATTATGCATAAAATTGTTCACTTCAAATAATAGCTCGCTTTCTTCACTTTGATTACAAGCCTTGTTTGCGCACAGGAGCCTTCATTTTTTTACACCCTCCGTAATATATACTAATACGACATCCAAGTAATGACTTGCAAGATTATAATCAAAGTAATAGTTAGTTTTATGCCGGAAGCTGTGTAAACATACGTCGCGTATCTCATATTGTAATATGAATCACGTAAATTATTTTGTCTATAATAACAATAACAATAACTTTAGCGAATATGAAGACTATAATTTTCGAAACTAAAATCAATTGCGAAATGTAACTAACGTATTCTCCCGAAAATAAGCAACACTTTTTTGTTATAGTATTGCTTGTTTTCGGGTAGTTTAATAAAATGAAAGAAATTCCCACTGAATTATGTGATTTCTGTCGATAATACCACTAACTATCATTGACATCATTGATGAGACGGATTAATCATTTTTTTTATTGTAATAACAATAATAAAATAAAATAACTAATTGAATACATTTATAAAGGTAAATTATTTATTCTGAAGTGTTGCTTATTTTCGGTGTTGCTTATTTTCGAGTGTTGCTTATTTTCGGAAGAATACGGTAAATTTTTTCTGACATAAATTTTAGTCAATTGTTGATATAAATATTTTGATGCTGATGTCTTGGTTTTTGATCTGTGGAATAAATATTCGACTTACGTTACAATCACATGTTGTCAAACTTGCATTGTGGCGTTAATACCATATACAAATTGTGGCGTCATGATCTTTGTCTGCCTTGGTTTGTTAACTTGCACGTATCCTGACCCTCTCCACAAACTATGAATGACGGAATTAGTATTCTTCTTGCATTTTTCGTTATAGTAGTGGTGTTTCGGTGGCTGTTGGGTAAGTCCGTCTTCTCTACTAATTGAAATAATACCTTTGCTGGAACTTGGACGACAATCCCAGAAATCGCTCAACTTTTTTTTTTTTTTGAAATCTATAGCCTCGACATCTGACACCCAAACCTTACGGAGACCGCATAACACAACCCTGGATCAGCTAAGGATGCGACCTCGGCCCGTTACGGCAGAAATGGTTTGTGATTGCTTTTATTTACGATATAAATAGAGTTTTACTTATGTAGAAGCAAAACATATCTGCTACCGTTCTGTAGGTGGAGACGGTATGTGCTATGTTTCCCAACATCCCACCAGCTGCGGTACAGTATGATCTTCAAAAGACAGGTTCAGTCGAAGTAACTTGTGACAATATTCTACAGAATGGCACTCTGCCCATGGTACGAAAAAGAAAATTTCTTGCAAGTTTTTCTGATAAAAGCTCGACTGTCTCAAACATCTGAAAAATCACTAATCTTTTTCGTTGCGTTTTGTAGCCACCCGCAGTCGTTCCTCAGCAGCCGTCTACTAGCTCTTCGACTTCGTCCGCGTCCTCGTCATCGTCCTCCACCGCTAATACAACCCAACAATCACTTGTTCATAGATTTCAACTTGAAGAGGCGGTGGCCAAGAATGTTACTCCCGAAGAGCCACCCAAGACTTGGGAGCAAACGGCTGAGAAGCGAGCAGAGATTCTACGAAAAAGAAAAGAAGCAATGATTCTGAAGGCAAGAATGTACGAGATTGGGATTATCGTAGTGTCTCCCACGTTTTTGTCACAATGCTGCACTCTTACAAGAATATCTGTTGTACTGTTATGCTTTACTTTTCAGGCGTTATATTGAACAGGAAAAGAATGATCAGGATACGAAAGTACAGACTGTCTCGCCTACATCGAGCAATCTGCCGACAGAGCTGATTGCTAAGAATCTTGATTTGTCGTCAGAAACGCGGCGGCAACAATCGTCGCTCAAAATGGGAAACGTGAATAGAAGGAATTAGAGTTCTTGCTTATGACGATTGATAGGTAAGAGTTCTTTTGGTGAAGATGGATCGGATAATTATAATTAATATACAAATGCTTTGATTGATTTTTGATTTTTAGCTACATGATTAGAAATCATTCCATCTTACGGACAAAAACGGACATTTTATTTCCCGAGATGTTTTCGTCTCGACTGTATAATAAAGCTGCTAATAGGAGCTTGAAAAGAGAGTCATTCAAGGCTTGTTGCCTGCGAGAGCTAAGGATGATTGATAAACATGAGTAAATTTCATGAGAACTATAGATTATTATCTAAGAATAAACTATTTGTGAAATAATTGATAATTCTAATTTATGAAATTGCATTATTCTATAATGATGTAACAAATGTATCAGTCACTACGTCTAGCTAATACCATTTCCTTGTTGCAGAAACCGTTTCAAAATATTTTGATTTGCAACAGTGAATGTTTACGCCACCAAGGAATCGACAAGTTTGTGAAAAAGCATTGATCAAGCTCTTCAATATTTAGAGTTGATCTGATTTTCCTATCCTGCTTAGAGATCACGTTACACATGCACTATAATCAAGTTGGAAGATAAAACCGATGAGACGCCTCTGCACATATGAGATCGCGCGTTCCGAGTTTCAGCAAAAACTCTATTTAGCTACACCGGATATTTTTTGATTGGAGATCACATGTTTCTGTATGTACTGTTAATATAATATCAAAAACCAACCACTTTAATCATGTGAAAAACAGAATTGACAGACCAGGTACTTGTCCAGAACATGTTGCCAAGTATCAAATTTTGCATAAGGGGTCAAAACCATGCAGGAAACGGTGCGTGATTACAAAAAAGGGGGAATCCAGACGCGACGTGTACAGACAGTCAACTAGATATTTCATGACTGTGAAACGTAAATTTATCAGACCAAACGATTAACTACCCCTTGAGGAATTCCTTGGTCATGAATTTCATTAGTTTGTCAATATTTTGTGACAGCGTATTTTTTAATTGGGACTGTCGGATGGCCAGTCCATCAAATAGATTGAATTTTCAGCAATGAAACACGTGCAATGTACTTTAAATTATTGTATGTCGGCTTTTCTCTTGCGGGCAGCTACAAGACCGGAACCGGTTATCAATAATATTTACAAAACAAATAAAGCAGGCTCAAGTTGAAGCGGAACATTTGTTACTTCGGCTAAATGAATGCCTTAAGGCAGTGATGTTTATTGTTTGTTTTTGGGCTTTGAGCTTCGCGTCAACCATTTTTACGAAGGTAAAGTGCGTGTACACAAAATTGCCTTTGTCATTTATCAATTATTTCTTATGTATTACAAAAAAACGCATATTCTATTAACCGCTGCTTTTCTGGTATATAGTAATCTACATAAAATTATAGTATTTCATGATTATCCACGTAGATGCAATAATATAATTATATGTATGTCATATACGTATTAACCTCACCTTGATGACAAACTTTAGAAACTCTAAACGTTTTGCGTCAGCATGTAACGATGCTTTCGTGATAAGCGGATGTTGAGTTTACTTGAATCACCCAGTAAAAACTCTTTGTAATAAATCGGGTTAATGTTTTGAAGAACGGATATGAATTATAAACTTTGCAGAACATGATGTTGTAAAATAGATATTTTGATTGGATATTCCCGTATGAGAATAAAGAGTTATATTAATAGATTACATCGGGTAACCTTTTAAAGAACTATCATCCCTTTTACCTGTGAATAATAACAGTTATTATACTGCAACGGATGGAGGTTTTCTGATTGGTTTTAATAAAATGTATTCATATCTTCCTTCAAAAGAGCAGTCGAACAAAGATGCGAAAGAATGGACAGATTTCACACGGCATTTATTGTGGTATAACGCTCCCCAAAAAGTGGCAATTTATCCCTTTATTGAAAGCCAGCGTCATAATCGAAATAAAGGAATAACCATTGTTTCTAACTTTTTGTCTTTAGATTTGATACCCTCAAGTATATATTTATTAAACAACAGAATAAAGACGGGACATTTATGCTATTAACGGAACAAGTAATTTATGGAATAATTAAATATTGATTACCAGATAATTCGTGACTATGTACTACCAAGGAATCGAGTAAATTATTTCAGGCTAGTCAATATTAGAGTTAGTAAATCCGTCTCAACCCCCTTTTAACCATTAATTGTCATACATACAAATACCAAATACTGATTGGATACCGTGAATCTTTTTACCGGGGGAGAAAGGAGACTGAAACTTTTTGTTCCGCCATGTCTTGGCTTCAACGTACGGACGAATGGATAAACCTCACGACAAAAATAGGCGCATGCTTATATACATTGGGATTTGACATCGTTTATGCGTTTTCCGCACAAAGGTAAGGGATAACGTGACTGGAACAATGATGCGAAAACGAGTATAATGGCAAGATAATGTCATTTGACTAAACAGTACATTGTGTATACGTGATGCTTTTCTTTCTTCCTGACACAAAGGAGGCCAGATGCAAGACAACGTCTCAAAATATTACTGTGTTCAAGCCTTATCAACATTTGTCATCATGCACTCGCTCTCTTGCCACTCCATTCCACTCCACCCCTTAATGACCTCCGATTTGTGCCATACTAAACTTTTTTTTTCCCTATCTGATGCAAAACACAACACTCCCTGCTGTACAAAAGATATAATACAGGGGTAAAAACGCATGCGCCGTTGACGACATTCGATCGCACCAATACCTTGGCTGTGTTGGTTGGAAATACAAAGGTTGAGAATAGTAAATAGTAATCGATAAACTTTCATTTATTGTATAACATGAATGCAGGAGCAAAGTTGTTAACTTTTAATTACAATATACACGACAGCATCTGTGGCATATTTTCGCTTCGTATGTACGCCATAATCACGACACTCAAAAACACCCCTTGGACACATACACAAACATTTGCATTGAGCACGTTGTATCGAGTCTCGTTGCTCGTTACCCAAACAGTCTTGCTTATGATATCAGATATGCTTACGAAGTAGCACCGGAAAGATTAGTCTCATTTCAGCAATTAATGACATCTGCCTCATTTGCATATTACAACCCCAACTGCTTTCTAAGCATACATCCTAAATATGGTCCCTGGTTCGGTTTACGAGCCGTTAGTAAGTATCAATGACATATACGGCAATTCCGATGGGAAAAATCTGCTGTTTGTTGAACATGTGTTTAAGATGTGAGGGGTGTGTGTGTGGGTGAGGGGGAAGGCGTGGGGGTCGGACTAACTTTTTTTTTCCTGATTATCGCTGCAGTTACGATCGACATGGAAGGTCCCGCTGAAACGAACTCACAACCGCCATTGATGAACCCATTTCCAGAATTAGATGAGGTCTTGGCACGTAAATGGGAAGAAATTTGTAAAAGTGGTGTTCTATCCTCATTGCGGTCGTCTTATGAACAACCAAATATGGAAACAGATGTGGATGCGGAAATGGGTAATAATAGTAATGAACGAACAGTAGTTGTCGATGATGACGATGATATCATCAAGAACAGTGGTTGGTACAAATTAGTTGAATTGAGAGACCTTGCCTCGAATATTCAGCCGCATCCCTATCGTTACAGCATGAATCAGATTTGCTACCATTATACTAAAGACCCAAAATATCTTTGTGAATAATAAAGCTATTGTGTCTCGCTATGCCATTTCGAGCATAATAACTATTTTGTATTATTATCGTTATGATTATTATTTTATTATTGTATTATTATTATTGTATTATTATTATTGTATTGTTATTATTTATTTAGTTATTTATTTATTTATTTATTAGTAATAGAATGTGACACAATTTCTGTCACACTACAGGCATTTTTGGAAAGAACCCTCCTTATCAGTTTCATCTAATAAAATAAGGTGCTAATAGCAAAAAGGGCGCATACCATACTCCTTATGGAGTTTCAGCTTTGTTCAAACGCACCATGTGCTAGTAGCGGAAAGGACTCATACCAATCTCCTTATGGAGTTTCAGCTTTGTTCCTAATATACCATGTGCCCAACAGCAATCTAAATGTTATTAATTTTGTGACACACTAGACTGTCTCGTACTCCGCATTACAAGTTCCTTAGTAAACACAATTTGTTTCTCATCTATAGTCATTAATTTATTTGCGACCATACCAATAAACAGACAGTAATTTATTTTAGTATAAAGACGATACAATGTGTTACCCTGGACTTGGCCACATATTCAATTATGACTTAATTACTACGCCCAGATCAAACCTGTGCTCCTCGAAAAAATAGATATTTAAACGGACACTTGCCTTGCCGGAATCAAAACTTCAAGAAAAAGATCTTGTCTACTGGATAGACGATTGTCCCTGTAATCAATAAACCATTCATACCTCGCAACACCACACATAACTTACCTCACGCATATTCCAATAAAAATAAACATGAAGCGCGCTATTGCTCTTTTCTTTGCTATTCTTGCCATCGTTGCTGTTGCAACTGCTCAGATGACTATTAACGTAGGAGATGGTGGTCTAAAATTCAACCCAGCCACAGGCAGCGTCCCCGCTGGTTCTATGATCATGTTTAAATGGGTTAGCGCTAACCAACACAGTGTTGTTCGAACTGACGACGGCACAACTTGCACCCCATCAACAGTAAATGTCTACAAGGGTGGTCCAGCAGCTCAAATGGGTTTCACATCAAATTTCACAGTCCCCAATAATGTCGACAAGGTAAACTACTACTCCAATACAAAAGATTACCTTGACTCGCTTTATTTCAATCCTTGACCCTTGCAACTCACGTTTATTTATGCTTGATTTTGTAGTTGTGGTTCATCTGTGGTGTCCCTGGACATTGTGAAGCAGGAATGAAATTGGTTCTCACGGTTACAGGTGGAAGTGGAGGCAGCACTAACTCAAGCAGTGGTTCAGGTTCCCCTACTAGCACCAGCGCCGGTTCTAGCCCCACCACCGGTAGCGGTAGCGGTTATGGCAGCTCTGCTTCGACCCTCGGTGCAACCTTCGGCACACTCTTCACCGCCTTGGTTGCTTCTCTCTTGTTGTAATCGTAATTTAATCAATATGTACTCTACATTGGATATATTTACGTTCGTTTTTATATTTCAATAATCTAGAAAAACTAGAGTGGGCAAATATCATGTAGTTGTAGATAAAACAATATATATTACGTTGCGGCAAATGATAACCGCACGTTAAAAATAAAGGAGCGGAACGTGCACTGCAATATTGAAAGGCGTTGAACTTTGTTAATTGCCAATAATTTATTAATCTGATTCGCTACTTGCAACTAAGAAAATGTTGTCGATAACGTAGAACTCTATTGAGAACAGCGGGTTAACTCCCCGACAATAATTGATGATACCTAAAATGGGAAATGGAATTCAATTGTCGTCCCAAATTAGCAAGTTGATATGCAAAGACACAAAAACGATCGATAACACTAAAAAATAACCATGTCCTCAAAAATAGTCTTACAATACCAATAATATTTGTCATTCCATATTATTCATCATTATTGTCATAGTATATTGTTCGCAATGACGACTATGCAGTTAAAATGCTTGGCTCGTTGTTGACTCTAAATGGTTATACATTGACAAAAGTATCAACAATATAATTGCCATCGTTTTGTTGCCCAATTCTGAGAACGGGAAAACAGATAGCCCGAAAGATGGAACGAGTGAGTCTTACTACTTGATACGGTTAATAATATGTGTGATTAGGCTGTGGATGGATCAGCGGAAATAGTTTGTAAATCCATTAATAACAAAATCTTTATTAGACGAGTTTATATATCATAGCAAAATTGGAACCATAGAAATTACAAAAATAGAAACTTCCGACACCGTATAATCAACAAGATGTATCTCAGCAATCAAGCATTAAATATAATTTTGATTAATTAAACGATATCACATCCCCACTTATTCCATTCACCGGTTTACTTGTCGTTTCATCTACTTTCCGTATTTCTTCTACCGCTATCTCGCTCACAACGTTCAAATTTGCTTCGTTCCCCCCGTTATGCACATTTCCTAACCCTGCCTCACTCTCTACACTGATCATTGAAGTCTCGGATAGTGCCGCGTCTTGCACCAAGTACATGCTACCATTCGAAGACTCGATCGTCCTCACCATCTCGTAATCGTCATCATATCTATCATCACCCATGCCTCCATCAT